GCCTTGAAAACTGCAAAAGGACTCGTCCAAGCAGTCACTGCAGAGTCGGTAACGACTGAGCCCAGATTAAAAATAAAAATAAAAATTGATGCTTATATGTTGCTATACTTCTGCTGCTTTTTATATTATGCCAAATTTAATAGCTTTTTATTTAAAGAGAAATTGCTTTGGAGATATTTAAAGACTACACAATATGCTGTTAGGGATCTGGGAAAGGGGTATTACTTTCCTTTCTGGCAGATCTTAGGCAATGTTGGCCATGTCAGTTTCAGTTCCAGCATATCTTCATACAACTATTAAAAGTGCAGGAGTTCTGTTCTTTTTGCATCTACCACTCTAAAGTCTTTTCAAGTTTAAATTTACCCAGTTCCTTCAACCTCCCCTCCAAGTACTTTCCCCCCCCTTACAGTTAATAAACTGTAGCATTACAGAGAATTATGAAGCTTGCTTCTGGACCTTACTGGGGGTTTTTTACCTAGAATGTTTGTAGCCCAAAAATTTAATGATTCTGCCTTATATTAAAGTAGACTATTGGGACATACAATCCTATATCATGTACACCAAATGGCAGGTCTTTGGGTTTAAAAAAGTGCTGCCTACTAAAATACATTCAACAGGATATGCCCAATATGCAGTAGGACATGAGTTTAAATTTGAAGTCTTTCATATGCATACTTCTTCCCCACTTAAATACTTCTTGCTTTTTAATAACCGTAGAACTGACACTTAGAGATTAAGGCTGAGTTTCCAGATCATGCTAAGCCATAATAAGATTCGTTTAGCTTCAGTGTAGTGTGTTTTGCACATTCAGTTAATTGTGACTTATCAAATAAACTGTGTCCAGACAAACCTTGGCATAATGAAATTATAAACCTGACATAAATATCATAACATCAAGATCTAATGTAAAATTTAAGGGGAAGAACCTTTTGGTTATGAATGAGGGTGAGAATGCAAAAGTTATTGGAATTTACATGTTCTCTTTACTCTGTACTTGTATGCATGATTTCTCAGAGCCTAGATTCACATAACAAGCTAAGTCATAATGTGGTTTGTTTAGGTTTGGCTTAGTGCGTTGTTTTAATCCAGTCCCTCTTAGTTGAATGGATTTTGCTGAGGTAAAGATAAACATAGTATGTACGCATCTATATATTTGCTTTATATCCTGCTTTTTGTTCAGAATCTCAAGACAATGTACATAGCCTCCACAGTAATAACCGTATGAGGTAGATTCAGCTGAAAGAGAATGATTGGTCCAAAGTCAGTGAGTGAGCTTCCACATTGAGGGTAGACGTGATCTTGAGTCTCAGTACTCTTAGTCCAACACTTTAACCACCAATCTGTGGAAGATACATATGTAAGCATTTTATAATTTCTGTTGAAATGCATATGACCTTTAGACAACAACTTTACATTTTAATGTTTTGTGCTGTACTGGTTATTTTTTCAAAACGTCTTTTTTCCTTTTTTTTTTAAGCAATGAAATTATCTTTTAAGAATAGAGTTGAATAAATTGGTTTGTCTGGAAGCATGGATTGGATTGTTGTAACTGGCTTCCAGTTTGATGTTCTCTTGGACTACCTTTCCATGCCTTATGTGAGCTGTAAAAGGGATAGTGCTTTATTTGTAAAAAAGCAGGATCAATATTTAATAGGTAAAAAGCCTGTGGGCAATAAAGATACCCAACCACACAGGAATATGATTTTTTTTTTTAGTAGGCCAAGATTTTTACGTAGCAGCTGGACCTCAGATTTGGCAAGAGTTTGAATGAGAAATTGTTTGATCTTGTAGGGTTACTTGACTTCCTCAGTACCTTCTGTATCTCTGACTGAGGAATTCTCTAGTGTTTCGATTGGAAGGTCTTTGGCACTGGGTCCAGTTAAACCTGTCTTTTGCAGGGCATCATGATAGAAAAGAGTAGATAGCAATGTAAAAAGAAAGAAATGAGACCTGGATCAAATGTTGTAGTACAGAATGTTCTATTTAGCATTACAGCCTTTTTGTTCCCTTCCCTCCCCAGTTTTCTGATCCCTCTCCGCAATTGTCAGTGAAAATTCTGTGGCCCCTAAGCTTGCTCAGCCATCCCTGATCTTTTTTTGTATTTTCTCCCTTTTAGTTTGCTGCTGTTCACTATTATTGTATTTCTGCAAAGCTTGAGGTTTCCCCTAAAGTTACTAATATCTCTCTCTTGTGCATAGTGATTATACCGTATTGTGTATTTTATGTATTTTATTGTAAGCCGCCTAGAGTCACATAAAATCAAATGAATATAAATCAAAATAAATAATAATAATAAAAATAAGTAATGGTTAGCTATTTGCTTCAGCATATGTGACTGCTTTAATACTTGGATTTTGGCATCCTTTTGAAAGATTAGCAAGAGATTTGGGAGAAGAAGAGAAAAGGCCATTCTTCAAACAAATTTATGGAATTCACTATTCTGCCCTCTACCGCTGGAAACATGGCAGCCACTAGGTTAATCAGGGCTTTTGCATTACAATAGCTTAATGAGAACTTCAGGCAATCCCATGACTAGGGGATAAAGCAAAGCAGGAATTGGTGTAGTGAGTGTTTGCCCAGTGAGGAGTCACCTCTATAGGACTACAGCTACCAGTTCAGAGTTGCAATATCTGGATGGCAGCAAGTCAGCAGCCTCAAATTAGAAATTTCTGCAGCTCTTTGTTGCCCTTTAATGGTTATCTGGATTTTTGCTGTTCAGTTATGGTCCTCCAAGTCTTGGTTGTCCTCCAGAACCCCAAAGGACAGGTGAGCCAGTATATTCTACCTTGACAAGGAACAGTTCTCTCTCTCTTTTGGGATTTAGATAGGGACTTTTCTCAACCTTATCTAGAGTCGTCAAAGATTGAATCTGGGCTCTTTTACGTATAGTATATATGCTAAGCTGCTGAGCTTTCGTCATCTGCTCCAACAAGGCAACTGAAATTTTCTACCTTTCTGCTTTGTTGTTGTGGTTCAGTCGTTAAGTCGTGTCCGACTCTTCGTCCGACCTTTCTGCTTAGTGACAGCTAAAACCAATCCTGCCTAGGTTAAATACTGTTTCATATCAGTGTTAAATGAAAGCTTCAGCATCTCTTCCCCTTGCCCCTTCACACAAACACACACAGCTGGAGAGGGTACAAGCATATATTGTGTTGTTCAAGGTTAATAACTGAAAGCTGCATATAAGATGTGTCTATTTTAAATTGTGAAATAAATGTTGAGCTGGCAGTGCTTTCCTATGTGATATTTGACTTAGATATAACTGCACCTTGCAGAAGTCCTGAGATTCAACAGGAAATGGTTTGGCTTCACTTCTGCAAGGATTCCCTCAAATGAATACAAACTGAAAAACTGGTTCCAAGACAGTGACATCAAGATAACCAGATACTTCAAAGAACAACCCTTATTTAAGGATAGGAATGAGGACATTAACACTGGGAGAATCACCAACCACTCAATCCAGTTTACAAGTATCTCTTCCTGAGCAAAGTGTATAACAACTTGGTCATCACCACCTACCTTTCCTGAATCAGCCATGGCTTTAACCATATGAGCAGTGGCCTCAGCAATCAATTATGAATGTTCTGTCACAGCCATCATAAAGTTCTATGAAATTAATGGGCTGCAGGGGGAAGTAGAACTTCTCTTTTAGGTGATCAAGATTGACTGGCAATGAAATACCTAGAGGATGAGAAACTGGGTGATAGGATGAAAATACCTCCAGTTCCCATCTCACCACCAACTGACATATATAAGCAGACAAGTGTGGTCATATTGCAAGATGATGACATGATATACATATACCTATCCAACCAAACAATTGGCCAAGAACCCATAGATACTCAGACCTCCAGTAGCATAGTGTTCTTTTCTCAAAGACAGTCAGAATTGAAAGTATAATAATATATACTTAACTGCAAAAAGAGGACAATTAACGTACAAGTTCTTGATGCAACAACATTGCCTAGATATTATGTTCCATAAATAGATATTTATTGATTAATCTACTGGTGTTCCAATCTCAGTGGATTTTAAGATTAATGTAGTTTATTCTATATGCTGGTGTTAAATTACACAGTGAAGTCTGTATTTCTGTAAACCAGTCAGTGAAGAAGATGATTGTTTGGGAGTAGTGAGCCAGGCCCCTTAATGGATCACTGCCTTGTCATGGCGAAGGGGCGTGCGTAACTCAGTGAAGCCA